CTCCAGTACCTCCAGCACTAGCAGCTCCAGTACCCCCAGCACTAGCAGCACCTCCAGTACCTCCAGGACTAGTAGCTCCGGCACCTCCAGGACTAGCAGCTCCAGCACCAGCAGGACTGTACCCTCCACCACCAGGACGGCCTCGCCGAACGATCCACGCACGAGTCTCCTGCGGCGAGAGCGTCGCAAGTAGATCAGGCTGCGGTGGCTGTCCAGCTCCAGGACCTCCAGCAGGGTCACCCACAGCTCCACCGCCACTAGGACTCGCAGCACCCCCAGAGTCAGCACCCCCAGTCGCAGCACCCCCAGAACCAGCACCCTCAGTCGCAGCACCCCGAGAACCCTCACCCTCTGTCTCAGCACCCCCAGGCTCAGCACCAGCAGTCGCAGCTCCAGGGTCCACAGCAGCAGGCTGCGGAGGTGGCGAAGACGGCCGAGGCGGAAAACCAGGAGGGGTCTCCAAGCGTGGAGAGCGGGCACCCTCAAGCTCAGCACCCCCAGGCTCAGCACCAGCAGTCTCAGCTCCAGAGTCCACAGCAGCAGGCTGCGGAGGCGGCGAAGACGGCCGAGGCGGAAAAGCAGGGGGGGTCGCCAAGCGTGTAGGGCGGCGAGTGGCCGCCGTGTCGTCTGCGGCGGGGTCACCCCCCTCAGCTGGGCCAGAGGAGTCAGACGAGATCTCCACTGGCTCATCCAAGGGGGGTGGGTATACCTGAGACACACCTGAGGGAGCAGGACCCTGTGGGGGGAGTGGGTCTACCGGGGGGGGGACTGGTACCAGGAAGAGAGGCGCGAGGGGGTCCGGGTGGGACGCGTGTGGGTGTAGTCTGTAGAAGCAGACAGACTCGTCAAAGGTGACGTCCTGGGAGGAGAAGACTCGACGCTCGCGCGGGTAGTACAACTGCCACGGTGGGGCGTCGGTGGGGAAGCCAATGAAGATGCAGCGGAGAGTGCGAGAGGAGAGCTTGCTCGCTTTGGCATCGTGAACAAGGGAGAGCGCGCCCCAGACCCGAAACACCGACGCATCGCCAACCTTCCCCGTCCACCGGAGTGTGGGCGAGGTCTCTGGCTCAGAGACACGGGGCCAGAGGTTGAGCTGATGCGCAGCGTATCGTACCGCAAACGGCCACAGAAAATGGGGAGCAGCCGCATGGATCATGGAGGTACGAGCAACCTCCATGATCAAGCCAATGCGACGCTCAGTAATCCCATTTTGCTGCGGAGAGGCCGGAAGCGTGAACGACTGGATGATGCCCTCGTCTCGACAGAACTCCGCAAGGAGGCCGGAAGAGAACTCACCACCCCTGTCAGAGTGCAGACGCAGGACTGGCAAGTCCCGACGAAACCGCTCGCGCAGCTGGTGACGAGTAGCACGGATCCAGGGGATCAAAACACCGCTGACGTCCGCCTTGCGCCGCAAGGCGAAGACAATGGTGTAGCGTGTGTAGTCGTCAACAACCAGTAGGAAGTAGCGCTCCTGGTCCGTTCCACCGACGGGGGCCGGGCCCCACACGTCCATGTGGAGAGTCTGCAAAGGAGCAGTGGTCGGAGGAAACTCGGAGGAGTGAGGAGCGGCGCGCTGCCGCCCCTCGACGCAGGGAAGGCACGGTGGGGCAGGCGAGCGCGGGAGGGAGGGCAGGGACTCGGGAAGACCAGAGACAAGGAGACGTGAGTGCATGCTGCGGAGACGCGGCACAGAGGGGTGACCGAGGCGGTGGTGCCAGAGGAGATTATGGTGGGAGAGTACCCGACACGAGCAAGACGCGGCAAGCTGACCAAACGCAGACACCCGACTCGACGCAACCACCTGACCTGACTCAGCCACTTGTGCAGACGCAGTGGTCAGTGTGTACATACTAGACCCAGGCCGTCGAGTGAACGTAGCTAGGTGACGGCCAGTCCGGGAGCACGTACAGATCGCCACACGCTGCCCTCCAGGAATAAAGGTATCAACCCAGACATCCTGAATGGCAGCGTTGCTCACCAAGTTCGTCGAGAACGTGGGGAGGTGGAGACCTGACAGAGAACCGGAGGGGAATGCTGGACACGGGATGACAGTGGAGGCTCGCGCAACTACTGGGCCCCCAGAGGGGTCAGCCAGTGAGACTGGGACAGGTGCTGCGAGTGGTGTGACTGTGGTGCAATCACGAACGAAGCAACGTGACGCGCCTGAATCAAGCGTGAAAGTGTGCAAGTCCTCAGCTGAGGCAGGACCTGTGGCAGTAGACGCACTAGCACCTAGAGCGTCGGCAGACTCACGGGCACCTAGAGCTGGAGCAGACTCACCAGCACCTGGAGCGGCAGCTGACTCACTAGAATCGAGAGCAGCAATCTCTACACAACCAGGGACGCATCGCTGAGAAGCACAGTCGCGAGGTCGCTTAGGCCACGTAAAACCAAAACCTCCATGACCAGGACGGGCTCGCTGAAAACCCACTCACGAAGCTGCTGAGGGGTGGGGTCGTCCGGGAGAGGCAGTACCCGCTGCTGTCCACCCCTAGCCGCTGCAACTGTCGCGATAGTGGCCATGGCTGGCAGTGGCAGTCAGGAGCAGCGGCGCAAGGGCAGTAATAGCGATAGTAGTAGGAGCAGGGCAGCGCTGCTCGACAGGGCACAACTCAGCAATAGCAGCGGGAGCCGCATTAGTGGAAACCCCCCCCTTTTTTTTTTTTTTAGAAAGCAGTAGTAGCAGCAGAAGTAGCGCGGCTCGGGCAGGGCGGCGCGGCTCGGCAGGGCGGCGCGCGGGCTGCAGAAGCGGCGCGCGGGCTGCAGGGGCAGCGCGCACTGGCTGCAGGGGCGACGCGCGGGTTGCAGGGGCAGCGCGCACGGGCTGCAGGGGCGACGCGCGGGCTGCAGGGGCGACGCGCGATCTGCAGGGGCAGCGCGCACGGGCTGCAGGGGCGACGCGCGGGCTGCAGGGGCGACGCGCGGGTTGCAGGGGCAGCGCGCGGGCTGCAGGGGCGGCGCGCGGGCTGCAGGAGTGGCGTGCGGGCTGCAGGGGCAGCGCGCACGGGCTGCAGGGGCGACGCGCGGGCTGCAGGGGCAGTGCGCGGGCTGCAGGGGCGGCTCGCGGGCTGCAGGAGTGGCGCGCGGGCTGCAGGGGCAGCGCGCACGGGCTGCAGGGGCGACGCGCGGGCTGCAGGGGCGACGTGCTGGCTGCAGGCGCAGACGCGGTTGCAGGGGCAGCGCGTTCTGCGAGGGGCGGCGCGCGGGCTGCAGAGGGCAGCGCGCGGGCTGCAGGGGCAGGCGCGGCTGCAGGGGCAGCACACTCTGTAGGGGCGAGCGCGGGCTGCAGGGGTAGCGCGGTCTCAAGAGCGAGCACGGCTGCAGGGGCAGCGTGGTCGCAGAGGCAGCGCGCGGGCTGCTAGGGCAGCACGGCTGCAGGGGCAGCGTAGGAAGAAAAATTTACGGGCAGGGCAGGGCGACACGTTCGGTGGGCCCTAGGAACGATCATGTTCTAATACCATGTTAGAATAAGCAAGCAGGAATGATGGACTAGGTAGCATGCATGAGTACAAGTACCTAACCCTAAAGTGTTGTACCCCTTAGGGTAAGCCTCACTACAGCCTAGAGATAACAAATGTAATTTGACACCCTCACCCCGATGTCCTTGCCTTTCTAGGAATGCTCTAGATTTGCTCGTCACTTACATTGATGGACAGGAGTCTCGTTAACTCATTTTGCGCACTCTTTTAGTTCAACTCATAACAGTTTGCATGGGCGTGTAACGGTTTTCGCTTACTGTACGATGAAATGTCCGGACCAATCTGCCAAACCGTCCGTCTCTCGTCCGTACCAACCACGTTCGGTCGAAAGTCGCTCTTGCAAAACGGTGGCGGGAAACCCTTTCGTGGCAAAAAGTGTCAGAAGTGCTCGGACGCCTGCGACGTCGTATGGGGGTCATACGAAGAAGTTTGCGATATCTGGCTAAAAAGGTAACCGTGCTATCATACCATCGTCGCGACGATCTGAGCAAAAATATTTACGCGCACAATCTTGCTCGAGGTGAGTGCCTGGTGGTTTGGGTGGGGAGGTGAAAGTCGAGCAAGGTGGCTTCCAGTCAGCAAAGTCCAACTTATCGCAATAATTGTTCTTACCCTAGTCAGCAAGTACTACTTCTCGCAATACCCAGTATTCTTTCCCTGAGTCAGCAAAGTCAGACTTCTCGCAATACCCAGTGTTCTTTCCCTGAGTCAGCATCATAGTCCAAGACGACTATACTTCGCTGATGCATTTCGCTCACATTGTTCAATTGCACACACAACAATAATGCAATCGCCGTAATCACTCCCGCAAGTCCCGCAGTTCTCGCAACCCTGCTGTGCGCGAGCGCTCTACCATTATTAGAGGCGGAGGCCTTTCGCAATGCGCGCAGCGCGCAGTCGCGGGAGCTTGAATTCCACCTCGCCCAATAGAATCGTTTGATCAGTACCCCACCCTTCGCGGCCTCCCCCTCATGACGAAACTCGCTACTACACCCCCTACTGACTCCTACCTACCACATAATCCGGATGCGTGACAGTAAGGCTGCGCAAATGCACGTTCCAGGCCGGCGGCGCAGGAGACGTCCCCCTCAACCCCCCCCTTACGCGGCCGCTATGTGTCCCTGTTGCGCCTCCCTCGGCGCGCTCCACCCTTTTCCGCAACGAAAGGCGTTGCATTATCTGCGAATCCGGCGGCGCTGCGCGAGAGTCAGGTTGATGGAATTATAGGAGCAATAAATCAATGTGCGGGAATTGTCCAACTCACAGCACATAAATTTGATGACCGCTTCCGAAGCCGCAATCACATTCTCACACCGCTGCTCGCTCATCTCGTGTCTCCTCCCTTCCGAATCTCACCACGTTGCCGCGGCTCAAGTCGACCCCCTTCCCCCGTTTCCCCGGCCCGGGGCCGTCTGCTGTGAGGCGACCAGCAAAACGTTTTGCCATCGCGCCGCCCGTGATCGTTCCCCGTCTCTCCGTTTTCCTCGGCCGTCTCCTGGCTCCCCGTCATGAAGCCATATGGGCGGCGGTCTGACCTGTCCGGCCTGTGTGGCCTCGCAGGACTCGTTGCCATCAGCTTCCTCGCGACGCACGCCAGCGCTAATAGTGAGTAGTAGGCTGACTGCCACACACCACTGGCAGTGCCATGGCACCCAACTGCTTCTCCTCGCGACCCACGCCAGCGATGTTGATGGTGAGTAGGCTGACTGCCAGTGTGGGCCGGCCGGAGTGTGAGTGAGGGCAACGAAGATCTAATGATTAGAAGGATCTCCGCACTTGTAACGCATTTTCCCTGCTTTACCTCGAAACAACCCTTGATTTCCTGTGCAGCTCTGTGTGGAAACAAGGATTGTGGGACCGATGCTATGTGTGTGACTACTAATGGCACTTCTAAGTGCCAGTGCTCGGATGGTTTTATCTTCAGCGAGTCTGACAAGACATGCGTGTGTGAGTGCTGGAGTGTGACGTCTGCAGCGAAAAATTCGATCTTTGTGGCCTCTTTTCCCAAATTAACGTCGGGATGACGCATGATTTCCTGTGCAGATGTGTGTGGGAACAAGGACTGTGGGACCGCTGCTAAGTGTGTTGTGGCTAATGGGAATACTACTGAGTGCCAGTGCTTGGATGGTTCTAGTACCTTCAACGATTCTGACAAGACATGCGTGGGTGAGTGGTGGAGTGTGGGTGAGTGGTGGAGGAGTGTGGGTGAGTGGTGGAGTGTGGGCGAGTGGTGGAGTGTGGGCGAGTGGTGGAGTGTGGGCGAGTGGTGGAGTGTGGGTGAGTGCTGGAGTGTGGGTGAGTGCTGGAGTGTGGGTGAGTGCTGGAGTGTGGGTGAGTGCTGGAGTGTGGGTGAGTGCTGGAGTGTGGGTGAGTGCTGGAGTGTGGTTGAGTGCTGGAGTGTGGGTGAGTGCTGGAGTGTGGCTGAGTGCTGGAGTGTGGTTGAGTGCTGGAGTGTGGTTGAGTGCTGGAGTGTGGTTGAGTGCTGGAGTGTGGTTGAGTGCTGGAGTGTGGGTGAGTGCTGGAGTGTGGTTGAGTGCTGGAGTGTGGGTGAGTGCTGGAGTGTGGGTGAGTGGTGGAGTGAGAAACATTTGATCCTGTGACCCCTTTCCCCTAATTTATGTCGGTACAATGCATGATTTCCTGTGCAGATCTGTGTGCCAACAAGGATTGTGGGACCGATGCTATGTGTGAGTCTACTAATGGCACTGCTGAGTGCCAGTGCTCGAATGGTTTTATCTTCAGCGAGTCTGACAAGACATGCGATGGTGGTGAGTGGTGGAGTGTGGGTGAGTGGTGTGGAGTGTGAAGTCGTGGAGTGTGGGTCGCCTGATCTTGTGACCCCTTTTCCCTAATCAACGTCGGAACAACACATTCTTTCCGGACGTGTGTGACAACAAGGACTGTGGGATCAACGCTACGTGTGTTGTGGCTGCTGATGGTACTGCTGAGTGCCAGAGCTCGGATGGTTCTGTGTTCAATGAATTTGTACAAGACGTGCTATGGTGATAATTGCTGCACTGGTGAGCTGGAGAGAGGACACATTGAAACAGACAAATTTGAGGCATTCCAGCAGCATCGCCACTTAGATGCGGTGTGAAACATGCACGTGTACATACATTTCAACATGTCCAACTCCCATGGTGAGTGCCAGTGAGTGAGTGGTGGAAGGTCAGTAACTACACGTCATCAGATAACAAGCCCTTCTTTTACCCTCCTTTCCCTGCGCCTTCTCGCAACTACCCGTGTAATCAACTCCTGCAGGCCCGTGTAATGAAAAGGATTGCGGGCTCGATGGTTTCTGCAGTGTGGGGAAAAATGGCACTGCCGAGTGCGGGTGCCTTGGTGGCTTGATCTTCGATGAAGTTAACAAGACATGCTACGGTGAGTGCTGCTACGGTGAGTGCTGCTACGGTGAGTGCTGCTCTGGTGAGGTGATTGCTGCTGTTACGGTGAGTGCTGTTACTACGGTGAGTGCTGTTACTACGGTGAGTGCTGCTACAGTGAGTGCTGCTCTGGTGAGTGCTGCTCTGGTGAGCTGGGGACGATACATGTCTCGAAACAGACTCATTTTAACAGTCAGCGCTTCTGCCTGAGAACTATTCAGCAGACGTACTATTCCACTTACAAGCTGAGTTACTTATTTGTTCTCCTCACTCCTCCCCACATCATCCCCTCTGCATACTCCCTCCCTCCTCGCCACCAACGCGATGCCTCCAAACCCCCATCATCTTCTCCAAACCCTCACCTCAACGGCCACGGTACGGCATTGCGGCACCAACCATCGGTTGCGGCATTGTGGCACCAACCATCGGTTGTGGCACCAACCATTGCGTCAACGGTCACGGCACCGACGCTCAGGCCTCATCCTCCGGACGACGATGCAGCTGCAGGTGAAGGACTATCCAATCTACGTGGAGAGCCTAAACTTTGAGACCTCGGTGCCAGCAGAGCAAACCAGTGGCACCACCACGTGTACCAACCTCAAGTTCAGCGTCATGTTTGGCGGCGAAACCAGGATCTCCGTCGTGTGGAATGACTCCACCGTTGCTGCGGCTGGCAACGGCATGTGCAAGAGCCTGACGTTCCACGATGACCCGGGCTGCACGGGCAAGCCGGGGTTGACGATCGCGCGCCCTGCGAAAGTTGGCCGTTTGTACCCCGTCACGGAAAGGTGTGTGAGCTTGATGCACGCGTGATGAAGTGTGGTGTGTGAGCGTGATGGCTTTCGTGTGGATGCAAAGGTCATATTTCTGCCCCGTCACGGATAGGTGTGTGAGCTTGATGCATGCCACACAAAGTGCGTTTATTTTAGTGTGCTTCTACCGCATACGAAAGGATTTGACTAAAGTCACCAGATTGCTTTTTCCTGCTTTAGCATGAATGTGAGGGAATGTCGTAATTCTTCCTTGTATGTGGTCTTCCCTGTCCTTACCTTCTTACCTTCTTACCTTCTATCCTTTCTTCCTCTCAGAACTGTTCTCAAAGCAACGGATTTGCCGAGCTCAGTTGGTTGCGAGATCAGTAAGTGCAAGCACATGTCGTTAAATTCAAGACACTTGTTTAGGACTTGTCTCAGAATCACGTCGCATCCATCAGTTTTTTGTCTGAGAATCCATCAGTTTTTTCTTGTGGTGAATAACAAGTGCACACGTAAGGGACCTGGAAAGTCAAGTATGCTTGGATCTCTGTCTCGCTCTCATTCATGCCAGTGCAGCCCGGTTACACCTCCATCTCTGCATTCGCACCACCGCCACCCCTCCACCTCCATGACTCACAACCTCTGCTCTCAAGCCTGTATGCTGTCCACCCTTCTCTTCCCCGCTCATCCTCCATTCCTTCCGTCCCTTGCAACCCCCCCTTTTTTCGTGTGGCAGCCGTATGCCAGGCCAATTGCCCTGCTAATGCGCAGTGCAAGGTGGTGCAAGGAAGGGAGGAGTGTCAGTGCGATTCGGGGTTCCAAATGCAGAACAACAAGTGCACACGTAAGGGAGAGAAGACAAGCATCCTGTCCTATTTGTATCGCCCTCTTAGAAACTGTTTCATCCTGAGTGAGCCTCATGCCTTCCCCTCTCCCCTCCACCATCCACTAGCTTCCACCCATTACAGTTGACATATCTCATGTACGCCATCTCATGTACGCCATCTCATGTATGCCATCTGACTGTATTCTCTCCTTCTTTTCCCCGCCCATCCTTCATTTCTTCGTTCTTGTATCTCCCATTCCCCACTTTCCATGTGGCAGCCGCATGCCAGGCTGGCTGCCCTGCTAATGCGCAGTGCAAGGTGGTGGGAGGAAAGGCGGCATGCAAGTGCAAGGCAGGGTTCCGAATGAAGAACAACAAGTGCAAGGCAGGGTTCCGAATGAAGAACAACAAGTGCAAGGCAGGGTTCCGAATGAAGAACAACAAGTGCAAGGCAGGGTTCCGAATGAAGAACAACAAGTGCAAGGCAGGGTTCCGAATGAAGAACAACAAGTGCAAGGCAGGGTTCCGAATGAAGAACAACAAGTGCAAGGCAGGGTTCCGAATGAAGAACAACAAGTGCAAGGCAGGGTTCCGAATGAAGAACAACAAGTGCAAGGCAGGGTTCCGAATGAAGAACAACAAGTGCAAGGCAGGGTTCCGAATGAAGAACAACAAGTGCAAGGCAGGGTTCCGAATGAAGAACAACAAGTGCAAGGCAGGGTTCCGAATGAAGAACAACAAGTGCAAGGCAGGGTTCCGAATGAAGAACAACAAGTGCAAGGCAGGGTTCCGAATGAAGAACAACAAGTGCAAGGCAGGGTTCCGAATGAAGAACAACAAGTGCAAGGCAGGGTTCCGAATGAAGAACAACAAGTGCAAGGCAGGGTTCCGAATGAAGAACAACAAGTGCAAGGCAGGGTTCCGAATGAAGAACAACAAGTGCAAGGCAGGGTTCCGAATGAAGAACAACAAGTGCAAGGCAGGGTTCCGAATGAAGAACAACAAGTGCAAGGCAGGGTTCCGAATGAAGAACAACAAGTGCAAGGCAGGGTTCCGAATGAAGAACAACAAGTGCAAGGCAGGGTTCCGAATGAAGAACAACAAGTGCAAGGCAGGGTTCCGAATGAAGAACAACAAGTGCAAGGCAGGGTTCCGAATGAAGAACAACAAGTGCAAGGCAGGGTTCCGAATGAAGAACAACAAGTGCAAGGCAGGGTTCCGAATGAAGAACAACAAGTGCAAGGCAGGGTTCCGAATGAAGAACAACAAGTGCAAGGCAGGGTTCCGAATGAAGAACAACAAGTGCAAGGCAGGGTTCCGAATGAAGAACAACAAGTGCAAGGCAGGGTTCCGAATGAAGAACAACAAGTGCAAGGCAGGGTTCCGAATGAAGAACAACAAGTGCAAGGCAGGGTTCCGAATGAAGAACAACAAGTGCAAGGCAGGGTTCCGAATGAAGAACAACAAGTGCAAGGCAGGGTTCCGAATGAAGAACAACAAGTGCAAGGCAGGGTTCCGAATGAAGAACAACAAGTGCAAGGCAGGGTTCCGAATGAAGAACAACAAGTGCAAGGCAGGGTTCCGAATGAAGAACAACAAGTGCAAGGCAGGGTTCCGAATGAAGAACAACAAGTGCAAGGCAGGGTTCCGAATGAAGAACAACAAGTGCAAGGCAGGGTTCCGAATGAAGAACAACAAGTGCAAGGCAGGGTTCCGAATGAAGAACAACAAGTGCAAGGCAGGGTTCCGAATGAAGAACAACAAGTGCAAGGCAGGGTTCCGAATGAAGAACAACAAGTGCAAGGCAGGGTTCCGAATGAAGAACAACAAGTGCAAGGCAGGGTTCCGAATGAAGAACAACAAGTGCAAGGCAGGGTTCCGAATGAAGAACAACAAGTGCAAGGCAGGGTTCCGAATGAAGAACAACAAGTGCAAGGCAGGGTTCCGAATGAAGAACAACAAGTGCAAGGCAGGGTTCCGAATGAAGAACAACAAGTGCAAGGCAGGGTTCCGAATGAAGAACAACAAGTGCAAGGCAGGGTTCCGAATGAAGAACAACAAGTGCAAGGCAGGGTTCCGAATGAAGAACAACAAGTGCAAGGCAGGGTTCCGAATGAAGAACAACAAGTGCAAGGCAGGGTTCCGAATGAAGAACAACAAGTGCAAGGCAGGGTTCCGAATGAAGAACAACAAGTGCAAGGCAGGGTTCCGAATGAAGAACAACAAGTGCAAGGCAGGGTTCCGAATGAAGAACAACAAGTGCAAGGCAGGGTTCCGAATGAAGAACAACAAGTGCAAGGCAGGGTTCCGAATGAAGAACAACAAGTGCAAGGCAGGGTTCCGAATGAAGAACAACAAGTGCAAGGCAGGGTTCCGAATGAAGAACAACAAGTGCAAGGCAGGGTTCCGAATGAAGAACAACAAGTGCAAGGCAGGGTTCCGAATGAAGAACAACAAGTGCAAGGCAGGGTTCCGAATGAAGAACAACAAGTGCAAGGCAGGGTTCCGAATGAAGAACAACAAGTGCAAGGCAGGGTTCCGAATGAAGAACAACAAGTGCAAGGCAGGGTTCCGAATGAAGAACAACAAGTGCAAGGCAGGGTTCCGAATGAAGAACAACAAGTGCAA